CCAAACAGCTTGATTAAAAACCCACAAAAACCAACCCCCAACCGCTATCACCAACAAAAAATGACCCTCTGATTGTATTTTGTATTGTTGTTGACCATTCCCCACCCCAAAAAACCGAAAAATAAAAAAACAAAAAACAAAAAAAATCGGTCTTGTCCCTGCTCAATGAGTATTCGATTGTGAGGGATACACAAAATGTTTCAATATGCTGCACCCGCCATGTGCTGTGACAAGGAGGTCGGCCACAGGGTAATTTAAATGAAATGAACAACAAATGCACTCACACTCATATACTCACACACACGGACTCGCACTCACACACACAATCGTAAAACGGAAAGCAACAAAAATAAACCATTCAAACAAACACTCACAAGCTTTCGATGAAAGATTCGAACACTCCAGTCCGGTGACATGTGCCGCAAATGTTAACCAGAGAAGAAAAAAATATATATTTTATATATATATATATATATATATATATATATATATATATATATATATATAAAATAGCAAGCTGTAAATTGAGCAGAGTAGCTGGTTGACCCCAACGCCCACATCCTCTGCCCATTTGCAGTGGGGGCGTGGTGCGTGGGCGTGGGTGTGGTCGCATATTGCTTTTCAAATTGGTCATCGAGAATAATAAAAAGCATGCGGGTATTGAGTTTTTATGGCGTTAACAAATTGCATTTTATAACACAATTTTGGTGTGTGCGTGTGCGTGTGGCTAGCAAAAAACAAAAAATAAATAAAAGAAAAAAGAGATAATAATATTCGGCTATTTGTTTGTGACTCGCATTGGGATTTATGTGTGGAAATTTGCAACCGGCATGGGAAAACAAAGAAAACTGAAAAGCTTGATTTAAGTTCTCAAAATAGTTTGGCATGTTCTGAAACTATAAAACCGTAGAGTTAATATATTTTATAATATTTAATGCTGCATAGTTTTAGACAAATTATTGTTGTCCTTCTTGTCTTAAATCGTATAAACATAAGAGACTTTAGAATAGAAATAGGTTAAATATAAGTTAAGATTTCGAGCAATAGACTATTAGTTTTCAACAATTCATGGTATTTAAAATTAATTAATTAATTGCCTCCTTAAATGCATCCACAGAATATTTATGTTTCCGACTTTGAGCATCCAACCTAGAATCCAGGATGTGCCCAAGTCTAACACTCCCGACTATAGTGCTCTCATTTATTTTCCTCTTACTCTAACTCGTTTTATTCACTTGCTCAATTTGTTCTACTCGTGTTTTTGATATACATATTACAACTAAATGCATTCCATTTTTATTTCATTGCACAAAATCAAAAATAAAAATAATATTGCAAAAATAAAGTCTTTCAATTGTTCAACGAACGAAAAAAAAAAGGGAAAGGGAAAAAACAAAGCGATGAAAACGAAAAACTTTCAATCGGAATTGTATCATTCGATTCGATTCAATGCTCTTTCTGTCTCTGTCTGCTCCCACTCTCTTTGTCTCTCTTTCTCTCATTCTCTCTTTCTCTAACTGTGTGTGGTCTTTCTATTAAAAATAAACAAATCCCTAAATACGCCACTCAAAATTCAATTAAAACTCTCGACGCACAAGCGCCGACAGATTTACAAAGCTGCCCCCTTCACACACACAAACATACACACACACACACACATTCATGGAGTATACGCTCGTGTGTGTGTATGTGTGCGGAATACCAACAATTGAGTGCTTTCAACTGTATTTTGAAATATTTATATGCTTGTCAGTGAGGTAAATCGATGCTTATAAATGGTTAAATGGTCAGCCCTACAAATTATGCAGCACAATGGGTTTTTTGGCTCTTGCATTTAACATAAAGTTCATGTTATCGGTTTGGCATACTCGACACATTCGATAATGTTGCCAATTGAGCCAAAGGCATGCAGAAAAAAGTAAAATAAAAAATAAAAGAAAAGCATGTTACCAACTTTTGACATTAGGACCCGGACAGTGGGCTGCATTGTTTATGAGTGAAGAGCCGAGAATAGCCAAAAGTTGAAATCGAGCTGCTGCACATGTCTGCAGTGGCATGCAAATGTCATTAGGGTAGCAGCCAAAAGCACAACCAACAACAATTTTCGTTGCCTATTATAAGTCTAAGTTAGAGACGTTGGCGTGAGTCACGAATAGTAGACAAACATATATTTCATATTTCATTTCGACTTAAGGGATAAAAATGTACATATAAGCATAATTTTGTTCTGCCTTCACTAAAATCTGATGTGGAACGCATAATGAAATGCTAAGATCCACACTTTGGCTTCATGTTTGCCATACTTATGCCTTCCACAACCTAATCGACCGATCGCCACAATAGCTAAATGCAGACTGCAGCTCGTTTCTTATGCGGCACCGAGCTAAGACAGCACATTGAGTAGAAGAGAAAAAGAGAGAAAGAGAGCTGCAATTAAGGAGATGGCAGTAAGGAATGTTTCCAAGATGAGAGGGACAATGCACCATATTTAATTTCCTCGCTGATCACTAGGTATGTGAAACATCTCCTTTACTCTTATACGCCACCATTTTGAGTATTTTTAGATGAGTATTAGTAAATCGGAATATGTAATAGGCAATGCATATTGATATTATATAAAGCTCAATACACGACACGCTCATCTCTATGGAATTGAATGGACGACAAGCTGCGACATTGTTGAGGCCATTTTGAGCAGCTGTTTCTCCTGCTACTCTTTTTTTGTCAGTATGTTAAGTATGCATTTTTTTCCCATAGGTATGCATATGTATGAGAATGAGTGTGAGTGTGTGTATGTGTGTGTTTGTGTTAAATGTGTGCGATTTGTCGTGGTAGCTACATAATGTCTAGTGGAGGTCGGTAGAGCCGTTATGCTTATGGTTTTGCATGGCGGCACGTGTGAAGCATGCAGATGCTAGGCTGAAGAGTGGCGAGTGGGGAGCGGAGAGTGCAGAGCGATGAGCAGCAGGCAGCAAGTGGAGAGAGCGCTTGGTCAAATACAGTCCACCAACCCCAACGAATCACCCGGACAAAGCAAAACTGAAATTGAACAAATTCCTAACAAATTGGATTTGGTTTGGTTTTTTTTTTTATGCTTAGCTTTGGTTTGTTGTTGTTTTTTTTTTTTTTTTTTTTTGTGCTTTGTCTCATTTCTTTTGCGCTGCCAGCGAAATTTGCTCACATTTTTCATATTGTTGTTTTTGCCGTCTCTTTTTTTTTGACGTTCTATTCTTGCTGTTGTTTTTGCAACATTGCCACGCAAGATTTCGTCTCAAATATGCGCTAGGGCCATTATGATTATTTCTACATTGCGTTTTGGCCACCCGCCCCCAGCTCCTCCCACTCCGTATTGCTGTGCACTTTGAAAAATGACACTTTACAACTGTTGTAATTTGTTTTTGTTTTAGTTGTTGTTTCCCCCCTCCCCCTCCCCTTCTTTATTTCTTCTGCTCGCTTTGGTCAACTATGTGGGCATGGTTGGTGCAAATTGTGGGTGTCAATGTGATTTGTAGCCGGGCCAATGATATGGGCGTGGCAGCCAATATGCTGACACGAAATTGAGCTGGAAAAGTGTACGAGCAAAGCATGTTCAAATGGAGAACTTGAAAGGAGAAGGAATTTCAAATTGAATGTCAGTTACAATATATCGATTAATGTATTAATCGATAGCCACTATAACCATTCAATATATATGGGCACACTGGCTAAAAAGAAGTCGATCTTTAATCAATTAATAATTGATAATTAATAATGGAATACATTTTTTGTTTAATAATTAAAAATAATTAATTAATATTTGTTGGCCAACTGTACTTAATCACACACGTCAGTTCGTACTTGTTTAATAATTATATCAAATGCAAAACCTCATCGAGAATAAGCTTCACACAATGCGTGATTATTGTGTCATCTGAGAGAGCTGGGCAACAGAGTTTCGAATCCTTTTGACCACTTGACCAACTAACCGCAATTTAATCATTTGGTCCAGCTGACAAACAAGCGAATGTAACTGGCCAAAACGAACCGCAGAAACCAATGTTTATTATTTTAGCATACAAATTAAATGCAATATTTATAGATTTTAATTCGCTAAATAATTACCATATATTTATGCTAGTGCTATATTTATATTTATGCATACATATACATATATGAATGTGTTTCTGTAGTGCCCCCATTTTCAATTAGGTACATAAATGTCTAAAATCACATTTAGAGCTAACTTTGCGGTCAGCTAGGCAGTAGGTAGCGTGTGGGTGATAGGGGCGTGGCAGTTACGCATTGCCTCTGAATTATTGAAATGCGATGCAAATTAGTTTCCAGCTGAACAAATTGCTGCATTTATCCCAACCAGACTAAATGATTTTTATTACAGACATTTATCTATATAAATTTGTATATATATTAATTTTTTGATCATCATTTGTTATTTATTAAAATCATTAGCGTCGCGCTGAACAACAAGCCAAAAAAACATATAAAGGAGCAAAAGCAAAGCAAAAGAAACATATAAAGGAGACGATAAAAGGACACGAGGTACGGATAGACAAATATTGAGAAATAATGTATAAGAGATAGAGGTTGATAGAGAGTAAAAGCTTTTTATGTCTTTTTGGTTGAGATAGAAATGAACTAAAAGTTAGTTTATTTCATCATATTTTCATTTTGACTAATCTTTCTTAAAAACAGTTCAAGCTCATTTCCACATTTGTTTAATTTGAAGATCGCTATCTTCGGTGCTTGAGTCAAGTTCAAGCTTGAGCGAATATGACATTGACAGTTCCAAAGTGAACTTCAACCCAATTAAATCCATCTGACAACATTCCACCAATTAAAAGAAAATATTTAGTAAGTAAGCTGGCATTGTAGTTGTAGTTTTAGTTGGAGTTGGAGTCAGTGTTAGCCAAGTCATATAAACTTAATGATGATATGAAATGGTCAATGAGAAGTAGAAGTAAAAGAAAGCTCTGGGACGGTTGCGCCCAGCCACCAGCTGGCAAAGAGAGCAACACGTTGCGGCCGTTATTATGGGACGTCATGAGGCAATATTAAGTCACGTAGCCATCGTGTGTGGCTGACATTTTCTTCAATTATTGTACTTATGGTTTCCATTCGCGTTTTACCCGAACGACTACATTTGTTGCATTTTCTTTTCTCGCATTTTTTTTTTTTTTTTGTCATATGAAGTTTGTCTTAGCGTTAAATGAGTTGTGGCCCAGAAGCGTGATGCCTATTTTACTTAACTTAAAGAGCTCGTATATGATAGACTCAATCGCATGAAATATATATATTTAAGTTTTTATTTTAGTTTCTCTTAGGCAATATTTACGTATTGACACAAGGAAAATGTAAATGAAATTTAAATCTAACAGCTTTTGCTGCTACCTAACAGTTCTATGTTAATTAACATCGCGCTGTTGCAACGATAACACTTATGTTATACACTTAACGCACGGGTATGAAGTATAAGAGTATTGGAGTATAAGACACTTTAGCCGCCAAATTTAAAAATGAATAACCCACTGCACTTAAACGAAAAAGAGTTATTGGAAATTAAATAGTTTTTGTTATTGTTAGTTGTTGCTTTTGCGAGCATTTCGACGAGTTATAGTCGTTTATGTATTTTAAAATCCGCTATTTATGTGCTGCATAGGCCTTTCGTAGCGCACGCCTCTTGCGTTTACCCACAGCCGGCACGAATCCGCCGCTTAAGCCCGAAACTGTGCCCAGCTGCAGCAGCAGCGGATTACTGACCAAAGCAGCGGCTATGCCCAGGACCGCAGCGCTGGCTAATGGAATGAGAAAACTCTTGGCTAGCAGCGCTTTCTGCGACAGCTCCGGATGCCCTTTGTGAGTGGCCAGTTCGTGTGGCTCCAAGTACGCGTATTCACCGCCTGCACTGGGCCCCGGATAGTGGATGTGATGATGGCTGCCATGCACCGGCCGTGAGCCATAGACATCGAAGGGAATGCCCGTCTCGGCGCTGCTCCCGCCATAGTAGCTGCCATGGCCCGCACCTACGCCGGCGTACTCATAGGGATGCCCCTCGTAGGCATAGCTGGCATGTCCGTGTGGTGTTTGTATGTGCGCCGTCTGCGTTGCACCGCCGCCAAAGTGACCTATTCGAGTGGTTTGGAGTGAATGAGTGGTTGCACTCTCTGTTGCTCTGTGCACAGCTCTTCTACATACCCACGCTGATGCGATCGTGCTGTCCGGCGCTCTGTTTCCACTTGTTGTAGGCCTCACTCAGCGATTCACCCACGCTGCCCAGCTGGGCGCCAGCCAAGCCCGACGTGCCCGCGCCGGAGATGGAACTGGAAGCCGGACTGGTGATGGTACTGCCCGGTCCCCGGTAGAATTCCGGCGGCGGATCGTAGCTCTTGGCGATGTTGGTGCCAGCGTAATCCAAACGATTCGGCACTTCTCGTTTACTCGTATTCCCACTTGGCTCCCAGACGACATGGCTGGCGTTTTGCGTAGAGCCCAGCTCCAGGCTCAAGTAGAGGCACAGACCGAGTAGTTTCCAATTGCCGACGAACATTGCGACTAAGTCTGCTGCCAGCGCTGTCAATGGACTTTATAAAACATTTCTCGAAGAAGACAATTGCCAAACGGCTTTCTGGAATATATTTGTTGTTGTATATTTCATTTTGCCATTTGGCGACAAATTGCGCTTTGGCAATTTGAGACAAAAATTGTGAGCGTGTCGCTTGGCAGGCTTTGGGCCTCAACTCAGTCGCGCAACCATTAGACAATTAGGGCCGTCAAGCGAGGCGAAGTTCTTTCGCCAACACATTTTTTTTTTTTCCTTTTCGTTGTTTTTCTTCATCTGTTTTTTTTTTTTTTTTTTTTTTTTTTGAATTGTTCACGTTAGTGGGGTTTCACTTTTGATTTCTTCAACATACACACAGATAGTCAACATCTGCTTGTTAACTTGGCCAAGACGCGTGTAGTTGCCAATTTGCCAGCAACTGGTTAATAAAATAAACCTTATCAAAATAAATAAAACGCGCACGCATTATGGAGTAACTTAATATATTTAACATATTTATGAATTTAAGTTATGTGGCGACCCTCGCTTACGACCTTAGCAATTTTGCAACACTGTACAAGTTTATTTCCATTGAAAACTTCGACATTGGCAAACACTATTCACGAACTGAGTTAAAAAAGAAGAAAAAATTCAGGTTTTTCTTTGATAAGCTAGTCTAAAACTTTATAGATAGCACGAGTAAATAAAAATAATAATAATATTATGAATTTTAAAAACAGTTATATTTTAAATATAGTTAGACCTCACAATGAGCTGAAATAAATGAAGACCAAGTTGCTAATTTTTGACTTTTCTTCTGCTTCTATTGTAAGTTTCTAGTACCAGGTAGATTATAGGAACTAGCCCTGAAGGAGCCCAGCGTGAATATTATAATAATATTCCTATTGACGATAATAATGATAATCATACCAATAAATTATACAAATTGTGATAATACTAATTACAGTGATCGTGCTAATGATAATTATTAAGTAAAGAGAAATTCTAATGATTATTATGAAAATCCCTCTTACAATATGTTATTTATTTTTATAAAACATAAGAACTATGTCAATAATCTCTAAGACTAGCTCGATAGTGGAATAGCCCAATGGAGGTAGCTAGACTGGCTAGCTATATTCCAATAGTCAATGATATAATTCAACTATGATAAGATAGGCAGTATTAAACGAAACTTGAAAAATATATCACTTAAAAATCTTAAGAGTAATTTGAATTTCATTTTGAGACACTAATATTATGATTATAATAAACTATTATAGGAAATAATGAAATTGGTAAAAGAAAGGAAAACAAAATTAAATGGGGTGAAAAAGATAAAAAAGAATGAAGATTATTAAAAACAATGAAATTCATAATGACATATATCAAAATGATGTTGAATGATAAACAATAGTAGCGAAAGTTCGCTGTTCTTTGGATTCTCTAGATATCTGCTTGGCAAGCACCAACGTCAAGACGTGTCGTAAGCACTCATACTAAGTCGTCCATTCATATATTGTAGAAATTGCAAACTTTGCTCTTGCCTGATAATAAATACAATTATTTTTGCAATGTTTTTAGATTGTGGGCTGAGCACAAACATCGATTGTTCGAGTTTAATTAAAGTTTTATTTAATTTTCAAATACATCGATGTGAACGACACACATGACACGTATTTATAGAGCAATGATTATATTTCGACTATAACATCAGAAACAATATAAATTAATTAAACTATTTTATTGCTGATATTGCAACTCATTGGGCAACCCTCGCTGAGACTCTACTCTTGCACATAGTTAAGAAATTAACGCCGTTTGTCTTCGCTGCATGCACTAAGTACGTGGGCGGCGTTGTTTTGTGGGCGTGCCCGAAATTGTTGCGCAAGTTTCTTGACATTGGCAAAAGGCGAAAATATTTTGTTTATATTTTTATTTGTTTCTTGTTTTCAATTTTTATTAATTTTTTTTTTTTTCGCGATTAGTTGACCTTAACGCCTTCACGTTTCTTATCAGAAACGTGTGAAACTCTCCATTATCAGTTTATTGAGAATTTCGGTGGCATTTCATCGAATCACCTTATCTGAACTGCGAATACAAGGTGAGAGTGTTGGGGAAATGAATCGATTCCAGTAGCTTTTATCAGAGATTCTTGTGAGATTCCTATGAAAGATGACGCGCGCGCACGAAAAATAGATTGACGCTATATTTGTATACATATATACAATATTCCGCGTGTTCTATCTATAACTAACACATTTACACAAATAGTCAAGATATCAATTTATATCAGATTTTACTATGATATAGAAATTGCTCAGGTATTATATTTATATTCCCATAGAGAGATAGAGATAGAGAGAGAGCGAGAAAAGAGCAGTTTAAATTTGTGAAAGAGATAGAGTAAAACGAGGGAGAGAAAGTAGGATATTGGTAGACATATACAGACAAAAAGTAAAGGGTAAGATAGAGAGAGAGAGAGCGAGAGTCAAACAAAAAGAGATAATAGGAAATTGAGAAAGTAAGTTAGAAAGAGAGTAAGATAACGATAAAAAGAGAGAGACTAGGACAGATAGAGACAGTCGAAAAAAGAGAGTAAGATAGAGAGAGATGAGTCGATGCAGAGAGAGAGCCAGATCATAAGCTACAATCAATTTTAACCCCGAGCAATCAGTTCACAGACATTCTGTCAGATAAGCAACGCATAGTTATATTTCCGGTTCAGTGCCATAAAAAATAAAAATAAAAAAATAATTGTAAATACCTCTAATTAGGAATTTCTCTTATATTTGATATATGTTTAAAAACAGTTGACTCATCATCTAAATAACTTTCAACTGTTCAATTTGCGGAACAGCTACCCAACACCCTCTTTAAAATGGTAGCTTATTATGATGTATGCCTTTCTTCTCTCAAAAAATCCAAATAATATAAATTAAAACAAAAAACAATATAAATATAAATAAATATCGATATAAGCAACACACACATATAGAGGAAATATAATCAATATATTAAAATACAATATAATATATAGATATACAAAAAATAAATAAATAAAAATGAAAAAAAAAGTATATATAAAAATTAAAGACAAAATTGTTATATTATATTCAATTTAATATATACAAAATATATACAAAAAAAAAAATAAAATAAAAAAAATATATGATAGATATATATAAAAAAAAAAAAAAAAACATATAGAGAATATAAAAAAATACGGGTATAAAAACAACAAATATTGTCGAGAGAAAGAGAAAGAACAAATTGTATTGCAATTAAATGAAATGAAATGAAATGAAAATTACTTTAAAACAGAGTCCGTTCCCGTTGCAATGTCGCGAATATTGTGGGCGGGGGGAGGATGCGCCAGCCAGCCGCAATTTATGCGACTTTGCAACGGGTACAGTGTCTGCAGTAAATAAATTCATTTGTGAAAGGGACCCTTGCGCAACGAGTCGAGGGGACGGAACTGGAACGACAGCCAGAGATTGCGCCGTGCGAAGTCCCTCTGGCTGGACGGTATATAGGCGAAGTAGGTCTTCGGATTTATCATCGGCCTCGGGGCATAGTTGCGCAAAGCGAGCCAAGTGATACGTGAATCCTGCAGATCCCGCTCGTTCAATCGAGTGTGATATTCTTTGCGCATTTGCTCGAACCGGCATAAGAACGTCTTATCGTCGCAGTTGGCATCGGGTGTACAGCGGAATTCAACGTCTTTGGGTTCGGGGAACTGTGCAAGGGGCCGATTAATTTTCAGCAGGGCGAGCACTTGCTTCGTTGTCAGCGTGGGCATCGTATCATGCCTGAAGACCTTGCCGTAGCGCCGAGCCACCCAGTCCACCAGCTCCGGCATCTTGTGGGCATTGGGCAGAGTGACGAGCACATAGCGTGAATCATTCCTGAGGATGTCCATTGCGCTATTTAGCAGCTCCGACAGCTTTTGCCGATTCTCCGGATCGATATTGGTCACTTGCAAGCGCTCCGATGACTCACGAGGAGGCGGAGGAGTCTCCACAGGATCTGCCAGACCATTCGAGGGGCCAGCGCGAAACGCTTGCCGGGCACTCTTCACGGCGGCTTCGAGTGCCATGCTGGAGACGTGCTGCTGCTGCCAGAGTATGCGCTCCATATGCTTCTTGCCATAGATCTTCGCCGCCTTCTTCTCCTCTTCGCCCTCCATGGCCTTCTGCAGCGCCGCCACGCAATAGCTGCGTATTATCGGCTGCGGATCGGTGTACCTCAGATCCACCGCGGATTGTTGAGCCGTTGGTCCATAGATCCGAAAGAAGTTCCAGGCCAGCCTGCCGTTGGGCATGTAGCGCCGGAAGCAATGCTCGTCTCCCTGCGAACTGGACGAGCCCGTCGACGGCACCTCCGGCGCAACATCCTCGACCACTTTGGGCGCTGGCTTCTCGCATACCTCTGGCTGTACCACTGGCTTCACCACTGGCTTAGCCGGTGGCCCCGGACAGCTGTACCTATCGTCCTTTAGCAGATGAATGGTCTTGTGCTCGTGCTCCTTGCCCAGTGTCATGACGTGTATGCTGTTCAAATCCTTCGGATGGGGCGCCGGATGACCGTGCGATACGGTGCTGTTCGATTGATCTGTCATTAGCAAGGGCAAAATGCAGCCGCCCTCCTTGGCATCCGTGGGGCTGATCATCTCCGGCATTGCGACCAGCTGGACACACATCTTGCAGTGGCCCTTGCACGCATAGGCCTCCTCGCGCATCGACCTCTGCACCTTCATCAGGTGCTGCATGCGGTGCATCTCCAATTTCTTGGCCGCTTGCATGACCTCGCGCTCCAATTGACGCACGATGCGTTCGCTGCGCACGCGCTTCTCTCGGCTCTGCACGCTCACCATTTCCAGGCAACGATGCAGTGCATCTGTGGTCAGCTCATGTTGCTTTCGGACGAGATCGCGTTGCACCATGCGATGCACACTGCATAGCGATTTATCCACTGATCTGTGCTCCTTGCCAAAGATCTGATCGATTGCTTGCAATAGGCATTTCTTGACCTCGCGCTTGATCGGCGATATTTCGTAGTCGGCAAACCAACGGTTCCGTTCGTTGGGTATATCGTTGAGCCTCGAGGGTTGCTTACGCTCATTGGGATTGAATGCCTTGGCCAGGGGAACGAAGCGCCTGGGTCGCACCTGTGGTTTCATGTATGGTGAATCATCGGCCGGCTCATTGAGTCCCTCATTGAGCCGCTGCTCCGTCTGCCTCCTCTCCTTCCGGTCCAGCTTCTCCTGCAGGCGATGCAGACGCTGCTGATACTTTTTCCCGTGCTCCGGCAATGGCAAGATCTTGTCCAAGCCTCGCTTAGTCATCGCCATGTCCAGATGGGCGATGCCCGTCAATAGGAGCTGCTCGTTGCATCTGTATGTCTGCCTCGCAGAATCAGAGGGACGCCGGTCCTTGTAGTATGCCTCCCACAGAAACCAGAGAAACGCCAAGTCACTGCCCCGACTTAAGTCTACGAGGAGCTTCAGCTGCTTCGAGCTGGGATACGGGTACACGCCCAGCGCCTTGAGGCACTCCTCCACCCGGTACGTTGTATGCTCATCAATATCGTCGCGCAGTGCATTCAACAGTGCATCGCATGCCCGGAACTGTTCCTCGGACATGTTGCGATACCAACGCAACGATTCTTCCACATCTTGAAATTCGTCCATTTCTCAATGGCGACGATGGCGATGAGGGCAATGATATATCTCCTATCTTGACAATCGAACTAAATTTTTTGTTTTATTTTTTTTATTTCTTTTTCTAATTATTCAAAGTAAAATATTTTGTACTGACAATTTAGACATCTACTTGAACTACATATCTATTTTCTACTTCATCTTTCTATTTGATATTATACGTATCTTGGGTAAATTAAAGAAAAACTGGTGAAAATACTCGTTTCGGATCAAGAAAAAAACGATTAAAGCCGCTGAATTAATATTTTATTGAGTTTGAATCTAGCTAAAGGATAGATCATATACGTTTTTAATCCATGAAACAAAATACCAATAAAAATTTTATTATTATAATCAATGATAATTATAATAATAATATTTTTAAATAATATTTAAATAATTTATTTGAGGAACTTTTATATTCTTACAACCTAGGCGATTTATAAGGAATTTGGAGAATTATTAATATATTTAATATTAATTAAATATTAATATTAAATGTTAAATAATAATAAAAAAAAAATAAAAAAGCTTTTGGTTTAATATACTATATATTGCAAAAGTATTCACTATTTTATGAATTTACAATGCATACTCGAAAATGGTTTACTCAAGCACTTTAAATAACATTTATTAATACTTTCATCACCCATAAATAAGACGAATTGCGATTAGCCAAACTCAAGAACAGATTTACTAATCATCAAATTAGTGCCTAGATAGTGCATATAGATTTAAAATCGCGAAAAGATTAATTTTGAAGGCTTCCATGTCACGCCGGAGTTATCAATGCACGACTACGATCATTCAGGCATTCGATGTCATACAACAAACGAGAACCTAACATCGAATAGATAAGTTATATTAGTAAAGAACTAGTATAATTATACAACCGGGACAGATATCAGGGCCATCGTGTGGGTATATAAGCTGCGCCAAGTCAACTGATTAAACACATTTGGTGGCATTCGCTTCACTGACAATAACCAAAAAATGAAAGCTGGTAAGTTGACCAAAAATCGCACATTTATACATATTTCTATAGAAGATATCGAATCTCGATTTGGCTAGCTCTGATTCTACTCTGTCTGGCTCTGTTCGTGGTGGCCATCTACGCCGATTGCGATCCAAATGGCAATGGATTACCCAACTGCTCCGGCACCAGCACCACCAGATATCGCAACAACTGGGATCCCACACGCTACTGGGTCTGCGAGGGAAACACCCCAACCGTTGTCAAATGCGATATCGGGCTCGGCTACGATCCAGTCACATCTGAATGCATTCCCTGGAGCCAATGGCAGTGGTATCCTGTATGCTCAGATTCTAACTAAGTTCTTTCAACTTTGGAAACATTAATTGCAAATAAAAACAGAAATCCTTTGCGTAAAGCAAGTTTTAGATCGATCATTCTTATGGTAGAAGACAACGAAAGCTCTGCTGAACTGATATACACAAATTTTTGAAGGCAGAAAAGTTTTTCAAAGAAAAATACGAATTTCTAATTAATAGCTCGCATGATAGCTATATGATATAGTGCTCCGATCCTGTCCTCCACATCGTATATACTACTTAAAGTGATAAGACGAGACTATGTAAAGTTTCAACTCCAAAGCTCTTAAATTGAGAGACCTGTATGCATCGAAACATTAAGATCGACCTAACAGCGGCAACTGCTCGGGAATATATATATATTTAATATATATAGAAAATAAAAATATAAAAATTATAAAAAAAAAAAAAAAACTTGTGAACGGCATCGTCTTGTGCCTAGCCGTTCGTTTGTGTGTTCCATCCTTGTCTAGGGGAGTGCTAACTTGCTCTCCTTCCAAACAACACAAATGAGCTCGCAGCTGAACCCCCGTTTTATATGCGAAGCTCGGCGAATAAACAGTTGGGAATTATAACAGAATATGTGCTGGCTGAGAGGCAAACAGAAGGTGATTATATTTAAATGATCAATAAGTCTTAAGTTAGTTTTCAAAATCACATAAGTTACTAAATATAGGTAAAAGTATATATTATTATTATTTAATAGATCTCCAGATTGTTATCAAATTCACTTGTAAATCCAAATGCATTCATACTTTTTATTTTAGTTCCTCCATTTTAATACACTACACAATATTCTGTGCAAATATCAACTCTATATTAGTTATATGACGACATGGTCCGTCCGTTAAGCTTAATTATGCTGACGTGGAATCGAAGATAATAGATCTTATTTTCTTCCACGTATGCCATTAAATCTATTTGTTTTGATACTTTGAATAAAGAGAGCACAGTCCAGTTGAAAATAAAACAAAGGTAAACAAATTATTATTTTCTTTTTTTAATATGGATTTTTACAAACTTTAAACGCCATTTATTATTGTCTTTAGGTATTGTTTCAAAATTGTAATGTAATTACATGAGCTATCCATAAATTACAGAGATTGAAAAGCCAATTCTCTGGCATTTATGAATGAAAATAAATATATAGAAGATTTATATATACGGATATATTTATAGTGTGAGATGTGCCCAACTCTTTGTCAATGCCAATTATCCAGAAGTATGAGTAGAATATATATATATATCTATAATTTGAGATTGTTTCTCACAAGCTGGGCACATTTCACAGCATTTATAGCTAGATTTGTGTGATGTATAATAGAATCGCTACATAAATATTGTGTATAGTATATCATATAGTACAGGGAATGATGTGCAACTCACACACAACATCTATAACGACTTCTTCAAACACGATTTATTAACGGCCATTGGCATTCGGAATGACCTTCAACTAAAGTCCCTAAACAGTTAAAATTAAACAAAACATTGTTTAGAAATACTATACGAAATCACTTTTTTGGCATTGTGCGATCATCGAAAACAAACTTTAAACTTAACTAAGCTGGACATAAAACAAAACGGAAAATATTTGCTAAATTCAACCACAATTGTTTTTTGGCCTTGGGAAAATGCTAATTATTGTCTGGTACTGAACGTTAATTATTATGCTAGACTAAATAAATAAAATCGGCTTAAATAAAGAGTTCAAAATCGAATCTGAATCAAAGCACCTGGCGACGTCAACGTCTTCTGGGCAACAAAAAAGCAAAAACCCAGACAAAAATCGCAAACTAAAAACCTATATGTATACGGGAAAACTTATCGTAGAGTTATAGTCAAACAAAAAGTAAACTACAGTAAAGCATTTGTCGTAAATTCGCACACAATCATAAAAATTATTGGAGAGGGTATCTATCTAGTCTATGCTCGGATTTAAAATTTGAGCCACGCTGGCCCAGGTGCCAAACACAAAGCCGCACAGACCAAATATCAATATGAGAAAATCTTTCCACAGCATCCAGTTGTAGCGGCCATAGCCCACATTGTAGTAGGTTATTATCTCAATAATAGGCGGCGCAATGAGCGCCAACGCTGAGCTGCTGACGGCGCCGACGAGCGAGATAATCGAGCCCAGATTGGGTATGACGGCGGCCAAAATAACTAGAATAGAGAACACCTCCAAAATTAGACAGTAGAAGACAATAGAATGTGAATGAAACATTGAAGAGAAATAATAATATATATATAATATAATGAAGGAAACAATTTGAGAAAGAAGACAGAGCAGAGCGCGAATAAATAACCAAATAAATTAATTAATAAATATACAATTCGCATATTAAATAAATTACATAAATTACTGTATGCATATGAAATATGAATGCTAATATGAAAATTGATATGATCCGCAGGAATGAGAGATATTTTATTTTTTAATATTCAACAAAAGAGCATTTACTAAAGTGAATAAGAAATACCTGCATAATACAACAAAACCAGAAAATAACTAAAAATTCGAAAAGCAATGAATGAACAAAAGGACACAGAAAATGGAATTAGAAATATGTACATATATAGAATGGGAGAGAGATTTGGTACGGTAAAAAACTATGCATTTCACGCAAAGAATATACTACATAATTATTTAATTTCCAAATGGGTGGTTTTATTTTATTTTAAGTACTTTATAAAAAAAAAAATGGTAATTTAAAAAATATATATAAATATATATCGATACCCAGCCCATTTCAGAATACCAAAATATATATATATATATATATATATATATATATATATATATATATATATATATATATATATAAACTCGTTAATATAATAAATAGTGATCTAATACACAACTGCGCCGCCGTAATTCTAAACCTCTTTTTTAAATGAAATATGTATATACAGATATGAAAGCAAATGAGGGTGCGATATTATTAAATAAATATGTAGGGCATGCGTAATATAATTATTAAAAACAGAGGCGGATAGATGGATAGATAAAGACAAAGATAGATAGATGAAAATATTCACAAATTGAAAAGAATATATAAATAAACTATAGCTTGACTTACAGGTAAATGTGACCAACACTGTGCGTAGCACCGTTGCCGCCAAATCCTTAGCGCGCGTCGTATCAAAGTTGCTGCGCACAAAAGGCTCCACCATATTGACAGGCACATAAAATTGTAGTGTATACGACAGAAATATAGCCACGGCCATGGAAATGCGTACCAGTTGCGATAGACTGGGCGGGGGAGAGAACATCATTTCATCATTGATATATACATATATTTGATCAATTCTATATCTCTACTTACACATCACCCTGTGGCAAATTGAGCGTAATGCTGCCCTTGACACTCTCACCGTACTTCAAGTAGCCAAAGAATCCAACTGAGGTGTACAGACAGGCCACAATGACCATGCCCGTGTTGAGAACTCCAGTTGTGCCGCCAAAGTCTTCGGGTGTGCGCATATTATTCTCCAATGGCAGCACCACGCCAATGCCCTCGAAGGCATAGATCGCCGTGCCAAAGTACAGCGGCAATGTGGCCCAGGTGGCGTACGGCTTAACCGTATGCGTGTCGGGCAAATCGTGCAGCATATACGAAAAGCTAATGGCTAAGCCGGCCACCGTCAACACGGCAGCAATCAGAGAGACTGGGGTCAGGTACTTCAGGTTGCGCACCAAATTCAACAGCACCATGGGCAAGAGCATCAACAGCAGGTAGATGCGTACATCCAGCTTAAAATAATGATCCATCACATCCTTAATATTGAGCGCCACGAACAGAAAGTAGACACAGCAGAAGCCAATCTGTGTGATGAACAGAAACGTGGTCACAACTCGTCGCGCTAAATGTGAGTAGCGTCGCAGTCCCAATGGACCCGTGTCGAAACTGCAGAAAGCCACCTCCGAAAAGTCCAAAGACGGCTGCTGCAGCCGTCGGCACAACTCATGCGAGCAGTTGACCAGCATGTGCATGCAATGCGTGCAAATGGCGCCCATAATCAGGGTGCCAAAGAGACCCACATAGAGGCCGGCGTTCTTGAATGCCTCCGGCATGGCCAATATGCCCGTGCCAATGTTGCCTTTTAGCAGATGCACCAACGTATCGAAGTTGGATGTGGGATGTTCGAGCGCGCGATGGTGTGTGGGATTGTAGAGCGACTTGCCCTGCTGCTCCTCGCCCGTCTGGCTGCTCTGCTCATCATCATCATCACCGGGGGCTGCAGCGTGTACTGTGTTAACAAATGAATTATTTATTAATATTTAATTTATATATGTTTTCTTAAATATCTTATTTTTCTTCCCCAATAAAGACATTTGCTTAAATGGTTTTCTATGAATATTTTAATATTGTTAACGTATAGAGCATTGATCTAAACCGAGGGCCTCAGTAGATTTACCTTCATTTTATATGACCTCCAACCTCTTAACAAATAAATAAATATTTATGCATATTTAAATACTTTTCACGCTGTGTTCTACAGTTTACATAAACCAAAAAGCATGTAAAATATATGAAATTAAACCAACATTCCTATCATAATCAGTATATTTTAATCTATATTACATATATATCTCTTCCGCTAGCTTTATCATATCTCTCCCTCTCTCTGGGAAAAACGTTTGACGTTAAAAAAGAATTGAACCATGCCCATTAATTACGATTCTTATCAAAAATCGTATTTATATAAAGCAAACAAAGTCATCGATTACGAAATATAACATGTTGTCTACAAATATTGGCACATGAATGTACACATATAATAATATACTAGACTTAACCCAAATAGTTATTAGAATACTTTATTTACCACAATCAAAAAGTGTTTCGGCTTTCGGTTACGTATTTGGGAAATATATATTTATATAAAATCAAGGTAAAAATTTAATTCGGAAATTTAAGAATATCATATAAAATACCCTTACAAACTTAATCATTTTAATTTAAAGTTCTAGAAAATCTAATCTCTCTTGTACCAACAGATCTATTATAATCGTTAATTATAGATTTAACAAACAATCATGATGCAGTATCTAAAAG